GGGGGGGGGGGGGGGGGGGGGGGGGGGGGGGGGGGGGGAGCGCAGGCGAGAGGGAAAGATGGTCAGCCAAGAGGCGCCAGCGCCCGAGAGCACGGGGAGGATGGGCACATGCGAGGCACCTGCACCGCGCGAGCAGAGACTCTCTTCGCGCGCAAAGGTCTCCTTGGCCATCTGCTCGACATCGTCAATGGCTTTGATTACGTCCGGGAGAAAGACAATCGGATCGTCGGTGTGCGGCTCGTCTGCCGGGGGGTCCACCAAGCTCGGCATGTCGCTGCCCTCGGAGTCCGAGCTGTGCAGCACGTCGATGGCCGGCGATGATCCGGGCCCATCGGGGGAGCGAGCCGCTTCGTCGCCGGCCGCCAGCAGGCGGATGGCCGACCGGATGATCGGGGAGAGGGGAGACGCCTGGGCGGCGGCGGCGGCGGCGGGCTGTGCGGAGGAGGGGCCCATCTGCGTATGTATGTATGTATGTATGTATGTATGTATGTATGTATGTATGTATGTATGTGTGTGTGTGTACGAAGCAGGAGGGGGGGGCGAGAGAGAAAGCAAGGAGCGAGGGGGAAGAGGGGAGGGGAGGGGGGGGGGGGGGGGGAAGGCAAGCGGGAGGTCATTGAAAAGGGCTTCCGTTGCCAGGCCGCCCCGACTGAAAGGGACGATCGCCGAGCTGGATCCCTCGCATCCTGACTAGGGGTGTTGTTGTTCCCCGCGGACCCGCGCCGGGCGGGCGTGGGCATCCGTGCGTGTGTGTGTGTGTGCGCGCGGCGCGCATCGCCCAGCGGGTGGCCGGGTGTGCGGCTTGCAAATGTGGCCATTGTGCGGGGCGTCTACGATCGGGCGGAAACGACCGCGCCTGATCCGGTCACGCGACCTCACGTGCACAGCGGTGGCATTCCCCGCCCGATCCCGTCCGGCATGCGCGTTGGTCCGTGGAAGGAGCCCATTCCACCCTTTTCCTTTGGGGGGGGGGGGGGGGGGGGCGGTACACGTCTCTGGCTCCTGCGCATGCCCGCGCCGGACATATGCCTTTTCAGGGCCGATCGTCCGGGAGCGGCCCAAAGGCCAGATGGGGGGTGCGCGATGCCCCGCTCTCTGTCTCCCCCCCCCCCCCCCCCCCGGCCCTCCCCCTCCTCCCCCTCGCCTCTTTGTGGCCTCTTTGCGTGGTCTTTTGCCGCACGGGGCGAGCACCGCGCAGCGCCGGCACGAGTGTATCTGCACTTGTGTTTGCATGTGCGATGTATGTGTACATATGTGTATGCGTGTGTCCGGCTGGATGGTTGGATTTGGGTGTTGTGTATTGGGAGGGGGGGGGGAGTGCCCTCGGCGCGGCAGACGGCGCGCGACGAGCGTCGCACGTGAATGTGCGGGGGCTGCGCGCCACCCTCCTCGCGTCTTTGCCATGGGCTGCGCGCGCGTGTGCCCGCCACCGGTGCGCATGTGCCTCTCCGGTCCGCCTGGCGGCGTGCACATGTGTGCCATGGGCCGCCCCAAGGCGAGGAGAGACCGGGGGGATTTGCCCTCCGGGAGAGACACGGCGACTCAACGAACGAACGAACGAACGAGCGAGCATGCCAGCCTTAGCGCTTGTTGATGCCAAGGATGCGTTGTCCATGCATGGCGGGGAACTTGGGCACCAGGACCACCAGCAGGGAGATGAAGTTCAGGGCAAAGGAAAAGGCATCGTAGTTGGTCATGTGGATGCTGAGCAGGAAGCTGTGGCGCGGTGCAGCCCAGCGACGCCGGGCGTGCGGAGCAAGGGCATGCGTGTCAGTGGGCGGTGGCGATGGTGGCGACGGGGAGAGAGAGAGAGAGAGAAGGGGGGGGGAGGGGGGCACACGTACATGAGCACCGGCACCGCGGTCAGGAACTTGCGGGTGGGCGAGAACTGGGCGCCATCGTCAAGCTGCTCCCACAGGGTCAGGCGGTAGTACTCGCCCTGGTGGTCAACCTTGTCGGCGAAGGGCATCGACTGGTTCAGATGGAAGAAGATCAGGGTAATCTGCATGTCCGGGGGGGGGGGGGGGGAG